TAGAGCCAGCGAAGACAGTTGTTGATAAAGGTCTTCAACAGGCTGTTGGAAATATTCTTTGTGACCCACCCGCCAAGTTTCTGATCCATATCGAAGAACTGACTGACTTGAAGTTTGTATTGAAGATCCGAATTTTGTTGCTGATGCTGAGTGAGTGACGAAGATTTCCAGATTAGACTGCTTTCAGGTTGATGAATGTGTTGCTCGACTTCCCGATTCTCGATTTGACATCCTCGTCCGTTCCGACTGCCTGTAGTTGAGACAATGCTCCCTAGATAAGTGGGTGAATGAAGTAACCTCTTTCGAATCCCTCCCGTTGATTGTGATTAGCGCTGGATGTTGCTGTTGTTGTTGTTGTTGGTTGGTTATTTTCATAACCCCATTAGGTGGCAGCACCCTATTCATATAAAGGTGGGTAATTGAAAGTGGAATGAATATCTGGTTGGTGATATGCTCCTAACAACCCGATTCCACATTACATTGCACACCTCGTTACTCAATTCGCCTTCAATCGATAGCAACCAGCCAACCGAATTCTGCCTCATATTTTCTCGGTTTGAGTTAGCCATCTGACATGTTTCATTCTTGATTCACTTGAAAATCGTGGAATAGTTTCAGCTATTACAGTGAAATAATGATCAGGTCAGTTTGTAGTTTACGTATTTAAATCTCAATATCGTTCCATTTTCATCTGAATAGGACCTGGGGAGTTCACTCTCTGTAAAATGCTTTTATCCCTTGGTATGATAATCTGGACAGGAAATGGTAGAACCATTTTGAAGACTTTTATTTCACTGTCCATTTTCATGTCACATATAATTATTTTAATCTCTAAAACCTGAAGCAGGAGCATTCAAATACTTATTTACGAGTCGCCAGTATTTCGTGAATGCACCACATCTACACCACATTCGTCAAAGGACACGTCAAATTCGCTGGCTCCAAGATATGACCTCGATCCTGCTACTATGTGCGCAACAGTCAAGAAGTTATGCCAACGTAAATTGGAATTAGTGGTTAAGAAACTTGAATAGAGTCAACTGGAATTCAGTTTTTCCAAAGATACACGACTGACTGATACCAGTTGGTGTCGGGTAGTATTAGTTAGTACAGCCAAATATGATCGCTTCAGTTTACTTTGGATCATTCCGTGTTTTCCTTTATAATAAATATTGTTGAATATTTTTCTGTCATTTTGTTGGTGGAACGCTTTGCGGATAACTTAAGACAAGTTTAATTGATTGTGTTAATGATGAATTCAGAATGGAATTTCGTGTTGAACACGAGGTCTTTAATCCCGTCTCGTAGGGTGATTCGATGAAGTATCTCACGTGTTCTCCTACATCCAAACTATAATTGGAATGATATAAAGTGTGTGAATTTCGACTTGGTTGTTCAATTATAGTAGAAACTGATTTCTAGGAAATTAACTTCCTAATTGTTTCTTTTACATGCCTTGGTAATTCAAAACAGACGAATTTTAACGGGTAGGTTTCATCAGTCTCATTATAATTCAGTGAATCATTGAAGCAAAACATTATGCATGAGTAGTGGCAATAGGAAATGCAAAATTGAAACGCAGGTTCATAAGTTATCTTAATATACATTCTGTTAGTGAGAAATGATTTCTAGGATCAGGCAGGCATTAGTAAACTGGCACCGTTTGGATGTAGATTTTGATAATCGTGAACAACTCAACTCCTGAAAGGCTTTCGTATTGCATTTAAGAGTAATAGAAGGCTGACTGCCTATTATAAGCCACTATGATATTCCTAGTTGCAGCGGAATAGAAATGTGTTAGACAGTGTGTGTGCACAGAGAGGAGATAAGGAGAATTCGGATTTATACGAAAGTGCTGGAGATCTGGATTCTGTGGGTGATTTGTGTTTAATGTCACACAACCTCGAAGACCTACTGACGAAAACAAACAAGTTGTCAGAGGAAGTACTGAAGAGAAGCGTTTTAATAGAATCAAGGATGATGTGAGTAACGAACCAATGAGAAAAGCAAACAAAATTACTATCATTATTAATATTATTATCCCCTTGCGTTCGGAGTGGAACATGGCGCATCATCAACAAATCTCCAGTTTGTACTATCTTCTCCCACCCCTTTCAGCTTGGAACACGATTGCCCACAATCTCACATCTCCTCCTCACACGATCTCCAACATATCACCCACGCAACCACGACCCACTCATCACTATCCACTGGCATTCCACTCAAGCCATGGCCTGGCACTTGATGTCATTCGATGGTCTTCTAAATATTTGCCTGATCCACCTCCATTTTCTCCTACATATTTGTTGGGTGATCAGATCTTGGCTGATTTTCTCCTACACTTCATTGTTATTAATTATTTATGAACATTTGATCTTCAGCATGGAGACAGAGAAGGTGGCAGCTGTTGATCAAATTCTGCAGTAACCTGTTAGAAATCCTTTTCGTTTCACTCACTACAAGTTTCTGATCCCTATAGAAGAACCGCCCGACTCTACACTGGCGGTGAAAATGTGAATCTCATTCTTTATGATCAATCAGTGCAGACGATTTCCAAACTGGTTTCAAGTTGATGAAGGCTTATCTTGCTTTTCCAATTCTGACTGGCTCTGACATCTTCACCCGTTCCAAGTGCGTGTAGTTGAAACGATGCTTCGTCGCCAGATAATTGAAGGAAGCAAACTCTGTTGTATCTCTCTCTTCGATGGTGATTGGTTCTGATTGTTTTTGATCTTGGTGCATGGTTATCTTCATCACCTCCATCTTCGCTGTATTCACTTGGAGACCTGTTTTTGCTAACTACCTATTCAGCCAGTGTGTTGGTATTCGTCTGCCTGCAAGTCTTCGAGTTTGTGTGACAATGGGTATGTATCATCTGTGAAATCCAGATCTTCAAGAGTCTTCTGATCGGCCGTCCAGAGTATTCCTAACATTTTCAAAGAAATCAAGGTGTTAGAGAGAATAAAAAATAAAAAATAAATCAAGTCGATCGAAAACGACACCATACTCAGCAAGACAATAGAGTATGACTGGAAATTCAGTTTGTGCACTGAGCTAAATGTCTCTCTACCGGAAAGGCTACAGCTTCAGCCATTCTTAAGACATGAGATTCCTGCGTCAAGTGGAAGCTCCTTATCACTTTTCTCATGGCATTATAGTAGGTATTTATTGAGACAAAATAGTCCATGTTGATGAGGTTTTCACCAACGGCAATGCTTATGGAGCCAGCACAACTTTCTTGAAACCAACGGGGTAGTTCTCGTGAACCCTATCAGATGCGATATACGTTTAACTGTGAGTTTACATATCTCCGGAATAGTATGTGAAGGGATGTATCTGCACATTGAAGTGGTCAACTGTGAAATCATGTTTTTCAGGTTCCTGAAAATGAATCAACAACTTAAGAACACTACACTTAGTGAAACAGAGAAGAAATTTCTCAAAGATGTTGAAATTCCGCTCTCAGAGACATCGCTTGTTGGGTCGTCTATCCAGACAGATAAAATCTGATGCCTCTGAACACTACGACTGATGTTCTTCTTGGAGTTTTTTCTGAATTGAATAACCGGCATTATGTGTTCTCGAAGCCTCCTGGGTACACGTAACCCCTTTGCATGGTGGTCTAATCTCTTCAGTTTTATGGATATCCTCTAACAAACGCATATTCAATATACATCAGTATGAATTTGTAATTTACCTTTAATTTTAAGTAAATGAATGCTCAATTTATTCAAGAATAAGACATCTCTACTGTGACAGACAAGCTCACCCATCAAAACTGTTGACAGGATGTGATCATTTGTTTATTTTGAGTTGATTTAAAACAATATTATTTCTTATTACGCAGCATATATTTGCTTCCAATCAGTAGCTTTGTATTGCAGTAATCCAGTAATGTCATTTTTAATTCTGATATTAATAGGCTATATTCAGTTGAAAGCTGTAAAGGCGTAGCCCCAGGCAGAAATGATGTTGTATAACATTTCTATAATTACTGTTGTTCATCCATCCGCTCAAGTAATTGTGAGAAGTACCTCTTATGTACAATCCACACTCATACACACAGTGTTTAGAAATCAGGAATAAACAAGCAACCTTAGGCGTACTACATACAACACGAATAACTGTATAAAGTTTTATATAATGCAATAAACAATTTGTCAACCTGGAAACAAATTCTAAATGTTATAATTTGACAAATCTATCAAAATTAGACACTTTAATTTTGACAAGACAGTAAGCAAAGTTTTGATTCTACACACGTCATGAAGCTACTCGAATCGTAGGTATATATATGGCTTGGAGAGAATGTTGTACTCCGAAGAGATAATGAGTTTAGAAAGAGCTTCTATTCACAGCACTCTAAATAGAACGATATATTTAATACAAATTATGCTAGTTCTCAGTAAGTTAACATATTCATTCTGATATTTATATATTTTGATGTAAAAGTTGACTAGGCGATTTAGCGAATCAAAACTTGGGGAGAATATTCCTTGTCCTTAGATAAGATCTGTGAACCCGCCTCACTCACTTGAAGTTCAAGTGAAAATAGACGATTTCAAGTTACTACGAAATCTTGATGTTTGACTGTTAACCTATTTAACCACAAGATGATATATTGCGTCATTTTCTTTCAGCGGTTGTCGATGATGAAACATTAAGGAAAGGGAAGGTCTTCTCCTTTTTTCCATCTTGAAGTGCATAGTTATAATGTCATTACTAATTGTATATTTGGATCATATATCTGTGCAAACGCTTCCCAGGATGTGCATTCAGTATGCACTACACCATCAATGGACTGTTCATTGATATCATTATCGAAATTTAGCTGTCTAAACATTGGTCAAAAGACCTAAAATACAGGAAGCTATCCATGAAAGTGTCACATTTTCAAAAACAGTATAATTTCAGTATAATTTTTGGATATTATTGTATGATGAGTGAATTTCTTAGCCATTGCATGGGTTAACAGTGATGTTGTACTTACTCTATTTCAGTACTTGTGAATTTGCCATCAAATCATGCCAGCTTTCTTTGCAAATTTTTTGGTAAATACATTTAATATCAGTATTGTTACTATCTGTATATTTATGAATATGTGTTTATACATAGCGTGCTGAAATATGTTTCGGATTTTCGTAAAGTCATCTGATAAATGTCAGTAATTATTGTTCCGCAACTAGTGGAGCAGCAGCTTGAGCACCTTTTGGCTCATTGAACTCTCAGCTGACGAAATCTGACACGTATACAGTTCTTCCAGCAATTCAGACAGCTTATCATATTCTGATACTGTTCAACACTAAGATGCACTTATATCCTTCTGGTTATTCTAAGAAACTTCAAACAAAGTTAAGGTGTTCTCATTTTCTGTCTTTATATCGTAAGAATATTTGGAAAGTGTTTATTCATACAGGAATGAAATATTCGGTTCTTCACAGTGATCACGTAGTTAGCCTGTCACACAAATAAACGGAATGTTGTGATTAGTATTATGTGTCTGCTTCACTCGCATCATTGATGCTTTCGTATATCCACGAAATGTTGGATAATTTTCTCATTCCCTTGTATCAGTGATGGTCTACTTTAAGGTAAATGACAATAATATGTTGGTGGAAATTGGTTATTTATTTGCTAAGATTCCTGAAATAAACTCTTGCTCTCTTTTGAAGCCAAAACGATAAAATTTAGCATTTCACGTTTCCCTGTCATATAATGATTCTTCTTTTATTCCATCACGTTCCCAGTGAAAAGTGAAGTTTCTGTAGCAGTGTTTATTTTCACAATATAGGATGGCTAGCCGAGTTCTCAACTCTTCCTGTTTACCAGAATTATTAGTGACTTAGCGAGATAAACGAGTGCTTCATCGGACAAGGATTGAACCTCGGACCATGTGCATTGTCGGCGAGCGTCATAACCGCTTTACCACCGACGCACATTTTATCAGGTGTCTGTGTTTGTCTTTATTTTATCGTATACGTATATCGACAATTCGTTATGCCTGAGTATTGTTCAATACAAGCTTTTGTGAATTTCGCAGACCTTCTTGGATTAAATATATGCGTAAGTACACACTCTAGTATCGTATTAGATTACATATTAGTAGAATTACAAATCATTGGCAGTGTATCCTTTACAAGAGACTTTTGAATTACACCTCTCTAAGCTGGCTAACTTAATGTAGACGTTTTTGGTGCTATTCATATCAGTGATGCAGTATATGTAGAATTCAAAACAAGAGTTTATAGTTATTTCCTAAAATAGATATGAAGAGGCCAAATTTACTCAGAAATGGATGATTACATACGGAACTATTCCTTCCCAAAATATGTAATCAAATATTTTTCTTTAACAGGACCAATTAAAAAGACATGCAGCTCATGTGTAAGTGGAAACTGTTGTCAGAAGGAAAACATTTTACTCTTTCAATTGATGTTAAGCAAAAGTCACTTGCATTGATGAATACTCCGGTGGGTCACTTATTCTGAGTCGTCGTATCTTTGGAATCGGATATCTCTATAGATAGATGGATGATTACAAATTTATAAGATGGCAGCTTATCGGACTGCATGATTGTCATTCTCATTAGCAGACGCATAGCGCACCTTAAGCTTTAGAAAATACCACGTTCAATAGAAGCAGTATGGACGCTTTTATTCTGATTTGATCTTGTTTACACATCTAATTATTATGACGTCTCAAAGTCGACTTACAAAAATAAAGAATAGACGGTTTTTTAAATCAACTTCAAAATTTATTTAATGGAGTTACCAAGCAGATGTCTTTGTGGTATAGACACTTATTAAACGGATTTGCAAGGAAAAAAACATAACTTGAATTTTCAATTGTCCAATGTCGAACACGAAACAAACGTCGGTTAGATAGATCACTGAAGGTAGGGAGCTTTAGAAAGCTGTTTCGATGACCTTTGAGTTCGAAGTATAATCTGAATACCGGAACGTGATTTATTTATTTCTTCAATGAGTTCATTGTAAGAATAATCTTAGATGCTACTGATTCTTTTACTTATATCGTCTTTCTGAGTTCTTAGTCCTGTTGGTAAAACAAATTTCTGTGAACTAAATTGTTCAGTAATTTATTCAGTTTATGGCCATTATAGATTTGAGAATGATAATATTCTACTGCGTGAATCATATCCACTGTAACTACATTAGAATATTATTATTATGCACAATAGAGATTTTGCCACTAATTTGTTACTAACCACTGTGATTGTTAATACAGCCATGCAGCTCTTGGGTCAACAACTGGCAAGATGGTAAGTAACTACTGATGTATACCGTGTGGTTTATTGACAGTTTTGTGGAAAAACGCTTGTCAACCACGGATGTGGTCTAGGTTCTATTTCCGCCCAATACACTCCTGAACCTCGCTCAGCCTGTTTTACGGTCTATGAGGTGGCCGAGTTAGACTTGAGGCCACTGAGAAAATAAAAACGCTACTGCAGGAATTTCAAAGCCATAGCTTGGGTCACTTTGTTCATCTTGGAACGTAACGGCATCAAATAATAATAATGATTAAACATCATGTCGGTGGCATAGCGGTTAGGACGCTCGCCGACCATTCACATGGTCCGGGGTTCGATCCCCGGCCGGCGCACTCCTTTACCTCGTTAAGCCAGTAGTGAGACTGGTCAAGAGGAAAGGTTTGGCATGAGGCTAGCAACCCCATCCTGTAAAAATAATCACCACTGTTACAGAAACTTCAAGCATCTAGCTTGGAGCCCTATGTTCCACTGGGAACGTGCAGGAAAATTAAAAAAATAAAAAAAATATCAAATCTGTCAATGTAAATTGAAATCCCTAAATGTAGAATGTGAATAAAGTTATCTTGGTATCTTTCAATTTTTAAGGAATGAATCGTTCAGGCACGTAAGTTATCCTGTAATAATCTTTGGTTAATTGTTTGAGCTAATCTGAACCCCAGTAATGTTAACTTTGGAAATGAATTTTTCTATTCAGACAGAAAAGAGACGAATGTTGCCAAATGACTTGCATTCACTTCCAAGGCAACGTGATTACTTTCTTCAGGTTTCACTCAAAGTGACAAAAAGGTGTGAAATTCAGCTTTCAAAAACACATTTAAAAACATGGCTTTATGACTGTGAATTTCTTGCAAAAGAAATTTTGGACAGTATTCGGACGATTATTAAAACCACACGTAAAATTCCAAAACATAACATTCGTCTGAATTCCGTCAATAAGTAAAAACAGCAGAACTGTGTCTCACTTAAACAGTGCGCGAATGCCAGACACGGAATAAAGTGATACGAATAAACAATGTTCAACAGTAACGAGTGAGTAAATATAACATACACGATAGATAATATTCTGCTATTAGAAATGAATTACTATACATCTAACAGAGCATAAATAAATTATACGAGTTAAACTTCAAACGCAAACGAAGTCGTTTCTAAGAAGTGAAAATAATATTTATACTTATTACTCATTTTAAGTAGTATAAAGTTGAACAAAAAGGAAAGAATAACAGAGGACAGATGAGAAAACAATTAACATAGTTACTGTGACATTATACTATGCTAAACACACTGAGCATTTAATATGTGAGCATATGTGGTTCGATTTGATTCTGCTCTCCCTGTAATCTGACGTATGATATACATAAGTGATAAAAGGAGTTTCAAAAGAGGAAATTGGCCGTCTGGTGTTGAGATCTCGTCGATCTGGTTAATAGGCGACATTGTGTTAGAGTGTCATTTCCGACCAGCTATATGGATTAGCCAGTGGTATCAAAAGCTTTCTACAAATTTTTTTGAATAAAACAGAGTATACATCAACCTGAATAGAACCTTTCTAATCACTGATAGCATCTGTAGCTTATAACTATCGAAAGATTTCCCATGTTTGCATTATACGCACTCTCAGGTTTTACTGTTATCTTTCCTGTTTCAGCATTTCCTATTTCTAGAAAATCCTTGCCGGATTGTAAGAATTTAAAACTCTGTACAAATTTTCTTTGCCTGTAAAATATTAATTACTGTCACTAACGCCTTTTTCTTATCTGTACAATAATGTTTGGTTCAGTCTTGAATCGGAAACTACCGGGAAATAGATCTGCTCAGAAGTTAATAATCGATATAACAACAGATTATAGCGAGTGGTGTCAACTAGTGATCGATATGTAAAGTTGAATTCCAGTCACGTCGTTTAGTAATTTTTGCCAACCAGACTCAAGGGACGTGAAAACACTGAATGTCTGTTACATCGGCCTAATTTATATTCACTTTCGCATTCGCTGTTGACTGTGTCAACATGAGTAAGAAAATCATCATTTTCATTCATTATCAGCTTGAAGCAACGATATCGTATGCTGTATAGTGAGGAGTGGTCTCCAAAATGCCCACTCAACAGCTTTATTGTATCGTGGAAACACTTGTCACGTGATTTTTGGGGTAAAATTAGGTTGCAGTACCTTTCATATTCTGCAGGACCCAATTTACCTGGTAACAATCGCAACTTCCAAGCATCGTCCTGCGAGGCGAGATCAACTTTTGAATAAATCATCATAGCGTTGATACCATGTGTCGAACGGGACATTAGCATGTGGATCATAACTGAATTGCATAATACTATTCACAATTCCAACGACAGATGGTGCCATAGCATGATTCGGAGTGCTTGAAGATGAAGCTGAACCAGTCTGTTTGTTGATGAGTATTTCCTTTAATCTCATTTGTTGCTCAAGTAATAATTCGAATTTTGTATGATCCATAGTTCTCCCGTCGCCAATAAATCTTATGTGACAAAAGGTCATACATTGTTTATTTAGTGAATAGACAGACAAAACATATTGTGATTTACAATGGATTCATGGATAATTCCCATCCAGGCATTAATGAAAACGAAACACGTAGACCAACGAAGAGTCCCTTTTGGGAGAATTCATTTTGTATTTATGTTTACACTAAGTTTGTCAAACACATTTACAATTGGTTATGGTTATTTTAACTAAACAGGTGAAAATTGATAATACAAGTCAAGGAAATTAAGTGTTAATGAAATTAGGGTAGTAACAAAGGTGATGAGTTGTTACAGACAGTTGTTAAATGAAGTTATGTAATAATATGAATAGTGTGACGAGTGAGTTTTACTCAGGATGCACATAGAAACAATGTAGATAATACGAAATTACGTAAGAGTTCTGAATGAATACAAGAATTCTAAGCAATCGAAGAACAGGTAAAGAAAAAAATAAGGCCATCAAAATCAAAAAACTCAAATCGAATCAAAACAAAATAAGTTATTACCATGACAGCAGAAGTGGTTGAGTAATCTTCTACTGATATCAGTTTCATTTACCTTTATTGACTATATGTACTTTATTATTCATGGATTTGTAACTGTAGAGCCTGAAGAAGAAGTTATCGAAAACAATTGTTCGTTCAAAATCTTGTTTTGATTTCAATATGCAGATTTTTCATTTACTGTGATTTTTTGTATGCACAGCTCTGGTTTTTCTATGCAAATGGCCAAAGCTTCAGCGATACAAAGAAGATGATAGGTTATTCTTGACTCTGTAGATTACTTTGAAGGAGGCGTTTGTTGAGATGGAATAATCAGCGTTAACCAGGTGTTCAATTATCGCACTCTTTATTGCACCACTATTGCCTTTTTGCAACCATGCTGGATAGTGTTCTTGAATCCTCTTGGATAGGGCGCACGTCGAACGACCGATGAACCTGGCTCCACGGCAGCAGGTGAACCGATTTATGCACACAGAAGTGGTCAGACGCTAGATCTTGTCCTTGAGGCTTCTGCAGATCAGTGGGCGTAAACAATGGAATAACGATCAATATACACATAGTAAAATATATCAGACTGTTAGAACAAAGCAGACATTATGTGACTACATATCAAAGATATCCAGTGAAAATAGGTAGCACTTAGAACCCAGGGAAGATTGATGAGACCGAAAACTTCCTGCCAAATTTCTCTTTCAATTAACTTAAATAAAAATCCTTCACACTGGTAGACAGCTGTGCACCTAGTTAAAAGTGGTAACGGAAAACCCAATGGATACACGCTAGTGAAACGCTGTTTTCCAATTAGAATGCAACAAATGAATAATTGTATTCATATATATTAGACTGCATTTATGACTTCCTATTCAACAACCTGAAAAGATCATGCAAAGTGAAAATTATGGTCATCAAGCAATATGACTGAGCATTAAGTGATATCGTAATATGTACAGCTTATAACTTTAGATATACTCTGTGATGAAAGTGACCTATAGGACTGTAATTCTTAGAAGAACTAAATGGATGACAGGTAGCGTGATGTTGTAAGGCCTTCCTAATAGGGATTCGCTGATGTGATCTGCAACTATTGAAATGA